AAAGTAAGGAACAATAATATTCAAGTATCATTAAACTTTTTTAAAAAAAAAAAATTAATCAATTTATAGTTAATCAAAGCATCTACCTATGGATTTCCTAAGAATCGACTAAGTTTGAACACCTATTACAGATTTTAATTTCGTATTCGTAATAGCAATCACAATTTCAATTCTTGAACCAAAAATAATATTGATTCAAATAACAAAAATTGTGCCAGAGAAAATAACCACGTGTAAGAAAATAGATGTTACATTATTACAAAATCTTGGAAAAGGAAATATTATTAGGATAGTGTATCACACTTTAGTTACTGATAAAAATAGCGAATAAAAATCAAATGACTATTTACATAAGATATTTTATATTTTCAATTTGCTATTTTGCTGAAAACATTCTGGTGTTTATAGATGCAACCAAACTCTTCCACTGACTTATTTAATATTAATTAAATATATTAATATATTTAGTTATTCGATTTTTTATACATGACACCATCCCTGTTGTCTTTTAATTTAAATTATTCATGATTTTAATTTCAAAGACGATTTAAACGTTTTTAATAAATAAAGTTCGTCGAGTGCAACACTGATTTATTGCTTAGAGTCGACTTGATACTTAAAATAAAGAGGAAGTGCATTTCATCTAGGCCTTCTCATTGAATGAAAAGTTCTAAGAATATATAGCTGACACAAAGTAATCTATTTAAATTATTTATATATCTATTAAATCAACTTAACACAGCTTTGACATGATAAAGAGCCAGCGAATTTCAATTCAGAATAAAAATATGTATTTTCTGTATTTGGAGATAATGTCTTTGTAAAAAAATAATCATCAATCAACAAAAATTGATTATTGATTAATTAGCGACCCGGATACTTTTGGCGCCCGGGTTGATACGCAATTTTTTTAGAAGATTTTTTGATCTTCATATTCATTTTTTTTTTCAATTTTAGAAACAGTGTTCAGAACAATTCTTTGTGTTTTCTGGGTTGATATGATATGATTCTAAAAACCTAGAATTATTAAGAGGCAACGCAGTGGTTTTTGGTGGTGTTTTCTTGTAATTAACTATTGAAAAAAATTTAAGACGATTTTTATGGAACTTTTTTGGCGATATATATCATGGTCTTATAGAACTTACTGTAATATTACGGCCTTACGACAAGTAGTTTAATTTTAAAAATTCATCAAAGTTTGATAGGATGGGTGTTTTTTTTTTTGAGGTTTGTTAAAATTAAAATTAGACGATTTACTTGGTATAACGATAGAGTTTTCGTTCGTTTTCAATTATGTTTAATAAATCCACTCGGAATATTTACGGAATCACTCATAAATTTATTTTATTATTGATTAAGTCGATTATTTTCACATATCGGGAAGTGCATGTAACTTGCCTCAAGGCGAAATACCAATACCAAGTAGTTAGTTTATAATTCACGAAAATGGAGAAGAAACTTCATTGAAAATTTCGCTGGATGGAAGTTAAGTTTCCAGTTCTGATTTTTTCAGTAAAATTTCTTAAAATGAGCTTAAAACAGTCGCGCAATGGCCAAAAAATTTAACTCATCCTTATACATTTGAAGAACAATATTGTTCCCTATCTTTCGAATTTTGACTTTTTTGTGAATTATAGATATAATATTCAACTGATTATTATGGATACTATCGGATACTCCTGACATAGTAAATCTCTAAAAAAAATCATGTATAGTCTATAAGTTTATAATAAATTAGGCGCACCGGTAAAATCCGGCCAACTACTGCTTCAACTGGAGGCTCCGTTAAGAAACAGAATAATAAAAAGCACTTGCCGCGCGGCATGCGTTTAGACCACGACGATTTGCTGCGTTTGGCCCGAGAACAATTATTTTGTAGCAACACAAATGGCACAAATGAAAGTAATAAAAATGGAACGAATGAAAATAGTACCAAAAATGGTCTCAAGGAAAATGATGCTGTCAAAAATGCTGAAACGCTGCTGCTTGCTCCATTGGATAGAGAAATTGTTTCATTGAAGATACAAGTATTTGCATTTTAATCATTATTTTTAAATACTATAATAGAGATTTTTTTTATCGTGGGTACATCATTGTTGTCCAATGCTTGTGTACCTGATTCTTATGATGTGTATTGCAAAACAATACATTCAATTAGAATAAGATCTTACGATTTTAATAACTGCCAGATTACTTTATGAATGCATAAAATTTGATTTATAGCTTTCTGTTCTTTTTAATTTAGAAATACATCATATTGGAAGGCATTGATGTACATTATTGTAAAAATCTTCAGATTTTATATATCTTAATATAGTAATATTGAATTTTTAGAAATAGAAAGCTCCCATTGATATGATTCCATACAATTTTTTGTATGTAATTTGAAACTTATTTTCATTTTCAATTTTGGATTATTGGTGGAATTATTTGAATCATTTAGTTTAGATATTAGTTTTCTTTGAACTAAAATATGGGTAACACTATTAGAATGAATTTCCTGGTTGGTTTATATATAATAATATATATATATATATATATATATACATATGTTGATAGTTTTCTTGATATTGGTACATATCGAAATATATGAATATATTCACTCATAAATTTAATTATTATCATATTAATATGAATATATTTATATATTGAAATATTTTGCAGCCCAATAATCAAATTAAAAGATTAAAAAGACAAATTCTTTATTAATTAAACATTTCGACACTTAATGTTTGTCATTATTCAGTAATATAAAAAACATTACTTTCTATACGTCGTTGAATGAACATGCTTCAAATTGGGGCATTATGTTGCTCATTTAATTTTTCCTTTTCATTAATGATCTATTAATTGTTTTTCTTTAGCACAATTTTGATGTTTTTAATAAATTTCATGTTTTTGTATTTTCCTGGTTTGGTATGAATATAATTTTCTTCCCTATTTATAATTTCTATCAAATGTTGTGATTATGTAATGTTTTTTATTATACTGAATGATGACACATGTTAAGTTTAACTAATAAAGAATTTGAATATATATATATATATATATATATATATATATATTGGTATATTTTTTATGTAGCCTCAAATATATAGACTACTTGACTGCCTACAGAAGTGTTTTAGTTTAAAAAGTGTTTGACGGAATTTGAATCTTAAATGAATATTTAACATAATATATTAATAAAAACAAAATACAACAACATGCAGACAACCATTCAAATAACAGAAATAGAAAAAAAACTTATTATTTTACTAAAAAAAATATATTTAACCTATTTCCATACATTTTTAATCCCAATTTGATTCTTGTTCAGTGAAAAAATTATAAAATCATAAAATAATCAATAAATATATAATAAATAAATAATGCTGAGAAATTACATCAACCAAAATTAATTTTATATATAAAGCTAACTATTGAAATGAAATTAAATAAAATATAGAAAACTTACTGTACAAATTTTTTAAACATTGAAACAGAGTCAAATTGCTAATTGGAAAAACATGATAATCAATCAAAAAGATTTTTTAGGAACTTAATTTAATTTTCATTCTATTTCTATTACCTCATGAATTATTAGCCTGTTTAGGAAGTATTTTATTTTTATCAACATATCCACCAACTTTATTAATTAATAAATAAATATTTAATTTTTTTATTTTATACTTATAATACTACTTACACTTCTGTACTTATTTACTTACATTACAAACATACTTTTTCAAAATCTCAAACTTCTACCTTGTGTTAGTTTATTAATATATTTCCATATTTTATTTAGGTTCAAGCAAATAAACAAGCTATAGGCACTCTCAAACGTAAGATTAATTCAGATACAAACTCATCAACTACGACAAGCACTTCTTCAACATCTATCAATGCAAGTGGTGGTAATGGAACTTCGGCTAATCAACTTATTGAAGAAATAAGACAATGTGGTGATGCAACACATCCGAGTGTTAAAATTACGACAAAATGGTCGAATGAAGAACTGCTATTGGCTGTTCAAGGTGTGAGAAAATATGGAAAAGATTTTCAGGTAAGATGATAATAGATGATAATGTATCATTGATTTATATCTTGAAAGGGCTGAGCTCTGTCGCAATTACCTAAGAAAAGTGAGTATGAAACATTAACTTGTTAAAGGTTTGTGAAATTTGTCTGATGCATTATACTTGTCTTCATTTTACTTAACAAACTTGACAGAATTTATAGTTTTATATCGCTGCTTTGATCATAGCTTGAAATTTTGCTGAAGGCAAAAATAAAATCTTATTAAAGTGTCTGCAGATTTTAATCAACTTCCATGATTTTTGAAATCTTGTAATGTTTTGTAATATACACTATAACAAGAAATGCAATACAAAATATTAACCAGAAAGAAAATATGTTCTTGCTAAATAAATATTTAAATTTTATGATTTAAACTATATTTCTTAAGTTTTCTCTTTATTGAAAAGATTAATGTATCATAGATTTAATATCTATTCATGATTTTTTAAACAAAGTTTTGGCCTTTTTATTTTTTTCAAAGATATCTATCCATGGGTTTTTAAACATAGTTTTGGCCAACAGGCCAAGTTGAGTTCTAAATCTAATAAAAGCTTTACTCAAATTCTGAAAAAAGAGTGCGTGTAAGTTTCACATGCGATTGAAGTAAAACTTATTTGCTACTGTTCAAGATGGCATTTAAGTGAAAATAAATACATCATATAACAATTTTGAATAATAATTAGTAATATGCTAACACATTTATTAATGTCAACCATTATACACATTTATATAATGATGAATTATAAATTATATATTTATAATACCATTAAAAATATGTATAATATTTAAAAACAATAATGTAAATAAAGTCATACTTCAAATATGACATGATCGGTTTGTCATTGTAATTAACATTTAGAAATGAAATTTCATTAGAGAATTCTATAAGAGATCACACAGTGGATTATGTTAAATAACGCCTAAACAAATATTGTTTCCGCAACTTCACTCATCATGTAATTTTGTTTGAAGAACATCATGTAATTAAAATTAACATACATGCATTGACTGCTGGTATTTTCTTTTTCACTTGCGATATAATCTCATTCTTTGAACAGCTGTAATATCTGTCTTGCCTAAAAAATATTTTCCATTTTAATAACTTCAAAGAATTATAGAAACTACAAACAATATAGAAATAATTTCTAATCAATAAACTTACGTTTAGTACACAAATGTTTAATTTATTTTATTATATTCAAGGAACGGGGTAAAATATTCTTCTGATTCAGGCATTTTTCATTAAATCAAGATTTGTACTATGATGTAACTTTAAAATGTTTATCTATGCCGATTTCCTTGTTGATATCGGTACGCATACAACGTTGATGCCGGTAGGCATACAACGACAGATCTCTATTTACATGCACAATGACTAATCACAATCGACCCGTATTAAAATAATTTCATCGAGAGCAAATGACGTATAGTTCGGGCGTAACGTTTTTCCGTTGCATTTGTACGGATTTACACCCTAGTTGTGCCTAAAGAAGTTTTACTTCAATTAAATTTATATTTCTAATAGATTATCTGCTGGCTGTATAAACTAATATCTTATTATAAAGTTTTTATTTTTATATATACTGTTAACAATCTTTGCTCCATGTTGTTTTGTTTAAATAGAGTTCAGAATATAAATTAAGAACAAGAATTATGGGAAAGTTTAATACATGTGCATAATTTGAATGTTGATAGACTTAACATTTTATTATTAAAAATATTTCTGACTTGTTTATTATACTTTTACAGGCGATTGCTGAAGCAATTGGTTCTAAAACAGAGGCCCATGTCCGCGCATTCTTTATTAACTATAGACGAAGATACAATTTGGACAGTGTTTTACGAGACTATGAGCAAGAAAAAAATCAGACTCAACAGGTATGGATGTTACAGAGTGTACTAACATGAAAAATGTATAAATTGTAATTTTAATTGGATGATTGTTTGGGTGTTAAAATATACAGTTTATTTTTTTTATTTATATATTTTGATAAAAATTAATATCCTTTATATCTTTCTCTAGTTTATTTTACTTTTATTATGTCAAACATTCACATTTTTCTTTCAATTTAATATTGAATTTGTTACTATATTTTTTCAGTCTTACATATTAGAGTTTCCTTCAAGTTAACATCAACTATATTTTTGATGGACTATTATTTGAATTTTAATTTTGATGGAGATTTTTAAATATTGAAGCATTTTCACTTTATAAGATGGGTTATGGATGCAATTAGAAGTGATCAAAGATATATATTATTAGCTTTGTTTCGGATAATTATCAAGATTAAAATAAGCGCTTTCTAATTATACATATTCATTTGAAATTAATATAAAAACCAGGGAATTTGAAGTTATAACAAAAGTTTATTTAGAAAGATATATGCATTATAAAATTAACAACATTATTATCATATGGTCTTTCTAATTTTTCTTAAGTTGAAATATTGAGAATTATTGCTATTACAATATATAAATCAATTTAAAAAAGGGATGAACTGTTCTTCGAGCAATAGACTGTAGTATCTTTAGAAAGATATTCATTATATATAATCTATATAGAGCCAAGAGTGATTTCTTAAAGTACTTCAGTCCAAATTTGGATATATATATATATTGGATATATAATATAATTTAGGGTGGTTCTTAATTTGAATTTCCTTGCTCCCAGGGGCTCAAATGCTTCCAAATTGATGAAAAACAATTCTAACTATTATTAACTTCAAGCATTCAACCAATGTTTCTTGGTTTTTCTTCCTAAGTAAATATTTATTCCTTGAAATATATCAAATTTTTGTTGTAAATTTTTTATTTATGATCAAAATAAGCAAATACAATGTTATTCTCAAAATTTTGATTCACTTGTTGCTAAGTTATAAAACAAATGGAATTTTACCCATGTTATTTTCATAGAAACTTTGATTGAATTGAACTATCTAAAAGATAATATTAAGAGCTAAAACCATATTAAAAACCACCCTAATATATATATCCAAATTTGGATTGAAGTACTTTAAAAAATCACTCTTAACTCCTCTAAATAGTCAACACTTTTTCCTAATTGTTATTATCTACAAAAAACGAAAGTTTAAATGATTAGACTTAGACTTATTAGCTTTGTGTAAATATTTTATTTATTTATGGATTTACTTAGATTTTTTTAGATTTACGGGTAAAGCTTTTTACAATTTCAAATTGAATTTACAACTGAAATTACAACAACTATTCCAAAATAGAAAAGAAAATCAAAGTTCAAATTTAATAAAGAAGATGCCTTGATATTACATATCCATTTTGAGCATCTTCAAGTGATCTCCATTAATTCAGATAGTTTCTTCAGAAATTTAACATTTTTTTTGATAAATGAAGTAGAATCAAATACATGGAAAATATTGTATAATAAAGATACTACAGACAAAAATATCTATATTTATAAAACGTGACAAGAAATTAGTAAAGAAATATTCAAGTTACCTACAGGTGGGATAGTAGTACAGTAGTACTACTTGAAGTCTAAAAGCAATTGATTTTTAGTAATTTAATCGAAACGTTGTAAAATTTATAATTACTTACTTGACATATTTGAAAGCATAATAAATTAAAAATTTTCGATACCAAGTCCATTAAATAAAAAAAATTTATTGTTTCTTGTCTTCATTATATAAAAAATCATCTGAAAACTAAAGCTATTGAGTCGAATCAAATAAATTAACTAAAGAAACTACTTCAAAAAGATAAAGTAAATGAAAGTAAAAATGAAAGCTATTGATTTTTAGTAATTCAATTGAAATGCTGTGATACTTATAATTAGTTGCTTGGTATTTTTGAAAGCGTAATAAATCAAAAAATTTATATCAAGTCTATCTAAAAAATAAAATAATAAATAATAAATTTATAGTTCTTTGTCTTCAATTACTTCAAAAAGTCTGGTTTGATGATGAGCAACGGTTTCTTGCATATAATGTGTACATATTTAAACTTTCTGGTTTTCAATTCTTTTTTCAGGGTTATTTAAATCTTAATTTGTGAGATAATGTTAAATTTTTGTTCTAATCTTTAGATGGACATAGATAACAATGAAACAGGAACTTTTTCCGAAAGTAATTCCCAAGCGCCGATGGAAGCATCAAAATAATATCATTATAGAAAATTTTAATATAGATATATAATTTTATATGCATGTGTTGTGACACATGCGCCCCCTTAGCTATAAGTTCGAATGTGTGAATAGTAAACTTTATTATGAATAAGATATAAATTAGTTAAACATAGATTATTATAAATAATAAATTGATTTGATAAGCACATCATCTTATTGTGAATATGAGTGTACATGCTTAGAATTCACTTATTTTAAAATTAAATACGAATTGTTAAACTTTCATTTTTATCTTTTAACATTATATAAATACATCATCACAATCAAGTTTTTAATGAAACTTGTGTCGGTACTAAGAGCATGAATATTCTTTTAAGTAAGTGATATAATTATGATTAATTGTGATTTAGAATTTTGACTTTATTTCAACATCTGCTTACATAAACAACAATTTGTTTATTTGCTCTTAGAAATTGCAGTGTCCGTAACAATTGGAAAAGAATATACAAATCAAAAATGTTGATAAACTGAAAAGACAAAAAGAATTTTTAATAATTTATCGAATTTAGGCTTGTTTGTCACTGGGTGCATGTTTGTATAATTTAGTATGAATGAAAGTTTAGAAATACCTTATTTTATCATGTATAGAGAAAAGAGACTAGGTGAGAAAGTATCATATAATAACGCCTTGATGCGTTCAAGAAAATTAAATTATTTTTATCATTTAAACATTATCTAATTTTAAGTTTTATATAAAGATTTTAAGTTGTTAGATATTTTTCAACAAAAGCTGCCTGAATTCATCACCAATCTAATTTATTTAATAATATAATACAGATCTAATATTTACTTGTTGGTGTGTAATGGAAGGAGAAGGAAACCCTTTCATAAAATTTATATACCAGTGTGTAATCTAGAAAAAAAGATCTCGTAGAAAAATATATATTAAATCGTTATATTATTTGGTGTAATACGTTTGTTTTTCCTTGCTTACTTATTTGATTTAAACATAACTTACTTTTATTTAGAGTTGGCAGTAGTTAATTTATACAATTAAAATGATACAAAATATATTTGTATTTTTAGATAATATACTTTTTAGGTTTATTGCTATATATCTAATTTTATTTAATGTTTTATTTTATAATTGTAAATACTTTGCTATCTTAGTTAAATACAGTGAATAGTATATTTTAAATCAACTTTACAAATTACAAGAACTTTGATTTTATTAATGCTTTACAAGCAAATTATTTTCAATTGTTTGTAAATATTCAAATTGAATAAAAGGCTTTGCCAAATTTTGTAAATTTGTCAAAGCATAATGAAATGATACTAAATTATATTTATTACTATCAATTTAGACTTAATACAAATTTAAACAAATTTTTTAGAATGTGTTATTTATTGCTTCAGAAATGATTGCAGACTATTTCGTTGTTGCCGAATATGATAGGAAACGCATACATATTATGTTCAAAACTGCCTAAATATATTTTATACATACACATATACATATAGTATATTTATGTATATTATTATATACACATATATTATATTTAAAATTGTATATAATTATTCATTTATTATATATATATATATATATATATATACATAATGTAAATGTTTGCGCTGCATTATAATTGTAGTTCGTATGTATATATAAAATAATGATTAGGTTTTTTTTTATTTTAACTATAAAATTTATTTCTATTATTGAAATTCATTTTTGTTAGGTAAATACCATAATTATTAAGTATATCACGATTAAGTATACCGTTTAGCATAAACAAGTAATATATATTTTATATATACTTGCATGTATGTCCACATACTGTTACATACGTGCAATTAATTAAAACATATGTGGCTGCTTTTTATTTCATTAAATGAAATCAGAAAAGGTGACTATTAGTCCTACAAACTGCTCTGGTTTTATTTCATTGTAGATTTTTATGCATCTGTATGTATAAGATTTATATAACTTTCATATGTGATTTTTCATCTTAATATTTCATGTGCATGTTGGTGTCTTATTGATAAAACATGTTTTATGAATTAGTTTTTGTATGTTTATTTTTGTGAGTTGAAAAAAAAACTATGATGAAAAAAATTGAAAATGCTTATATTACATACAGATACATTTATATTAGCAATTAAAGCATCTGTATACATTTTTAACATTGTGTTGTACTTTTCAAGATCATCTTTATTTGTATGTAAATATATTGAACCACTTATTTATATGTTGTTTATGTATTTATTTGTTTCTTGAGTATATTGTGTGAAGAGTGAAAATGTTAAGTGGAAAACATTTGAAGCTTTATAAAATATGAAATGTAAATAATTATCAAATTAATTTACTCTTTAATTTTGGTTAGAAAAAATCTATGCAATCTTTGGCATAACATAAGAATTTATTTTAAAATATATTAAATACTGTTTCAAATTATTATTGTTATGGTTGTGATACTTTAAAGTGATAGATCAGTTATGAATATTTATGATTTTGCAATAGGTAATTAAAAAACATTTTTACAAAATATTGGTTTATTTGAAGCAATACATGAGGAATGTTAACATAAATAGAAGTGTTAAAAATATTCAAAAACTTGATACAAGAAATTCATTTAAAATCTCACATTCTACAAAAACACTCGAGTGCCAATTCAATAAATAAAAATCATGCAAGCAACTCAAACAAGCATCTTGTAAACTTGAAATAACAGCCTAACATGACGACTGGACAAGCATTTAGTTTTCATCAACATCAGCCTCTTGCTCTTCATCAAATTCTGCCTCATCATCAGCAGTGGCTTCTTGGTATTGTTGGTATTCAGAAACCAAATCATTCATGTTGCTCTCGGCTTCAGTGAATTCCATTTCATCCATACCTTCACCAGTGTACCAATGCAAGAAAGCCTTTCTTCGGAACATAGCAGTGAATTGTTCTGAGATACGCTTGAACAATTCTTGAATAGCAGTGGAGTTGCCAATAAATGTTGCAGACATTTTCAGACCTCTGGGTGGAATATCACAAACTGCAGTCTTGACGTTGTTTGGAATCCATTCTACAAAGTAGCTGCTGTTTTGTTTTGAATGTTCAGCATTTGTTCATCTACTTCTTTCATTGACATGCGTCCTCTGAACACAGCTGCCACAGTCAAGTAACGACCATGTCGGGGATCACATGCAGCCATCATGTTCTTGGCATCAAACATTTGTTGTGTTAGTTCTGGTACTGTGAGGGCTCTGTATTGTTGGCTTCCCCTAGATGTGAGTGGTGCAAATCCAGGCATGAAGAAGTGCAAACGAGGGAAAGGTACCATGTTCACAGCCAATTTCCTCAAATCTGCATTCAATTGTCCAGGGAATCTAAGGCAAGTAGTGACTCCAGACATTGTTAAAGAAACTAAATGATTAAGATCTCCATATGTAGGTGTGGTAAGTTTCAAAGTTCTAAAGCAGATATCGTAGAGAGCTTCGTTATCAATACAATAGGTTTCATCTGTGTTTTCAACTAATTGATGAACAGACAAAGTGGCATTGTATGGTTCAACTACAGTGTCTGAAACCTTGGGTGAAGGTACTACTGAATAAGTATTCATAATTCTGTCTGGATACTCCTCTCTGATTTTAGAAATAAGTAGAGTACCCATACCAGATCCAGTACCACCTCCCAAGGAGTGGGTCAATTGGAAACCTTGTAAGCAATCACAGGACTCTGCTTCCTTGCGAACAACATCTAATACGGAATCAACAAGCTCAGCCCCCTCAGTGTAATGTCCCTTAGCCCAGTTGTTGCCAGCTCCACTTTGTCCAAAGACAAAGTTATCGGGACGGAAAATTTGTCCATAAGGCCCTGAGCGTACAGAGTCCATGGTTCCTGGCTCCAAGTCAACAAGAATGGCGCGGGGAACGTACTTGCCGCCGGAGGCTTCATTGTAGTAAACATTAATACGTTCTAATTGAAGATCAGAGTCTCCATGGTAGGCGCCAGTTGGGTCGATACCGTGCTCATCTGAGATGATCTCCCAGAACTAAGAAAAGATTAAATATTGTTAACATACGTCGAGTTGAAGGGAAATTGTGATGTATGGAGTATATCTTTTGTAATAACATTACCAAGCCCTAGCAAAGAAATCAAACAATTTAGGCGGCCATTTATTACATAAAATACAATTACCTTAGCTCCAATTTGGTTTCCACATTGTCCAGTTTGAATGTGCACAATTTCCCTCATGTTTGCTGTTTATTTCTCGAAACTTGCACGAATTTATTTAATGAATCAGCGAATTAAAAACTGCAGTTGACGCTGACTTCGGCTGCGCTAATTTATACAAGACCGGCTACGCCCGATGCTGCGTTCTCATTGGATGGAGCTCATGTTACCAACTGCAAAAAATATATTATTCTGTTTCAATCGTTAATTTTGAATTATAGTTATTTCTGCAAGCCAAACATTCTACATCTTTCGATTGAACACGACACGCATCTTAAAATCTCAAACGAAAATTATTATCATTAAGAAGGTATTTATTTTAAAATTAGGCTTTTTATTATATGTAATGGGATTACAGATTAGATATTTCTTTAAATTAAAATTATGTGGTGCTGTTCAAGAAATCTAAACTGAAGAAAATATATCGTTTTGATTCTGGAAGATTTATGTATAATAAATCTAATTGAAGTTAATTTATTCACGATAAAAAACAAAAATATAAATATTAAAAATTTTCTAACCAGTCAACTTGTAAATTCATATATGAAGTTTATCATTATGTACATACAGTGCGAAGTGCATATTTTGGGCTTGTTTAAGCCACTGTTTGAGAATCTTTGCAATCAATATTTCACCAAGTGTTGCCATGAATTTATAATAAATTTCTGCTTCTAAAATAGTCAAATTTATCATTTAATTTCTTGAAATAATTGATTCAAAAGTAGTATTGTTTATTTAGGAATATAAAATAATAATTTCTTAAAAATAATAATAAAATAAACTCTTATAAAATAATTTATTTCCATGTTGGTCATGCAAAATATTGTGAAGTTTCATTAACTTCAGAGCGAATCATAACCAAAGCGATTCCTTGAATAAATTGTCAAAATAATAAAACATGGTGGATGTGTTACTTCGTAATTGTTAAAGAAAATATATGTTAAAAGAAAAGTATTATTTTATTCGGAAGTAAACTCATAAATAATTAAATAAATTCATTCATAACATAACATAAATGAGGCACATACGCTAATTTATATTTTGGCTCAATCACGACAGAATTATCGATCGTGAGGTTAGTAAGTTTTGATGCATTTGGTTCTTCGTATTACTCAATAATGTTTGATAATTATTATTGCAATAATGTTGCGCATTGATAATATAAATAAAAAATTGCATATTTTGAATAGTCACGCTTATAAAATTTTTGCAATTATTCATCAAAAGTCGATTTTGTAGAGAATAATTGTATTTACTGAGTTAGTGAAACCTTATTTTATTTGTATATTTATTATATATTATGTCGATGTATTTATACTCATATGTAATTGCACTTAAGTTTAGTAAATAAGTAGGTAGAATAGTTAGAGAAGTATGCACTAGTTTAATTAAATATTAAGCAATTCGATAGTCCACGATGTCAATTGCAAATAATATAAAAAACTGCTTGCATGACATGATTAAAATATGCAATTTTTAACATCGGCTATATAGCAATATTTAAAAATGTAATGAAATTATTTTGCCATTTACGATATTTTTATTGATAGTTTTTTCTCTTGTTGTAGCCTGCAATATGTATAATGGAATCGGTTTGCAAACCGCAAGAGGCTCCGGCACAAATGGACATGTTCAAAGAAATTGGGCTTCTGTCAAACCCTTTAAAGATAAGGTCAAATATAGAACTGACGAAGACATAGCAAAACTTGAAGCCACATCTATTAGACAGCCCAATAAAGGAATTTTGGATCATGAAAGAAAAAGAAAAATTGAGGTCAAGTGTACCGAATTGGAAGATCTTTTAGAAGAACAAGGGTTAGCGCTATTTATTCTTTGCTAATGTGATACTATTTCAGTTTCGTAAGGAGCGACTTAATTATTAGAAGTGCCTTGCAAGATATTCTAGTTTTGGGATTGAACTTGAACTTTTTTAATTTACATATTTAGTTTTCTGTGTTAGCCTGTAATAGTTTTTTTTGTTTATCATAAATATTTACATCTTTACACTTCATAATTAGTACCTTCATGTACTTTAAAGAAATTATCCTTATTCATTCTTTTACATTTTTATGCTTAGCAGGTACTAGATTTGTCATAAGTTTATTTGAATCAAAACTAATTTTTGCACTACAATTTTTATTACATACATACATAGAAATTTAAATTGTAGTAATTAATTAAATATTTCTTGATTAAATTTGGGAAAATACTATTTCCAATAGAAAATTATAACTAAAATGATTAATATAATCAAAAATTGTTGGCTCACTAATAATATTTCAAAATACAATTTCTGCAATATTTTGAGTATTAACTAATTACTAAATATTAATTACTATATTAAAAGGTATTTTTATTTTCTGTATTTTTAATTATTTGTATGCAAAACTTATTGATTATTGAAGTATTTTCACTGTCACAATATATAATTGCATATATTATTTTATAGAATATTCCAATACATTTAATTATTCCATTATTGAACTTTATTTTATATTTCATATTCTAGATTACCAAAAGCTGATATTATTGTGAAAGTAATGGAATTCCGCACAAAGATGACCATGTTAGACGATCCTGTTAGTTTACCACAAGATGAATTTGGTCGAGTAATGTAAGTTTTTTTTCAACCAATAGCTATTAATATTTTTATTCAGACTCTGAATAAAATATTTGGCATTATATCTATGTATTATTTATTGATTAAAATGAGCCTTTTGTGGAATGAATTCTAATTTCTATTTGAATAAAATTAAAACTCATTGTTAATATAATTCGAAATTATGCTAAAAAAATAATATCTTGCTTCTATATTAAATTTAAAAGATCTGAAAAAAAATACAAATAATACAAATAAAATCAATTACTACTTATAATGAAAATAAAAAGGATATTTATTAAAAGCCAAAAAGTAGATGGAAATAATAATTGCATAATGCTAGCCAGTCAGTCAATTTTTGTTCCGATATGATGAAGTTGATATATCTTGCAATGATATTAGATTTTCTGCTTTATATATGAAATGTCTTAAATAGTAAAGATCAATTTTATTATAATTTTTTTTTCATGAGACTTATTCAAAGAGTGAAATTATTATTAAGTAATTCAAAAGAGGACATTTTAAGAACTGAATATATCATTAAAATGTTATAAAGTGTAAGGATAATTTTGCATAATTTCAAATAAGATGCTTTAGTTTGAATAATTTTTACTTTGTATATTTTATTTAAAATCATTAAAATGTTTCAGTAACAAAAATTAAAAATAAGAAACCTTTTTTGTCCTAATCATTTTGTTCTTGCATTTTTATTAATTTCAATAATTTGTTCTATTATATTCTTTATTAAAGTTTTTAACATGCCATATATTTACGACTACATAAATTCATCTTTTCTCTACATAATATATTTATGCCAAAGCTTGTTATGATGGCACACATACAGTGTCGAAACATATATAATAAATAGTTAAATTATTTATTTAACAAAACATTTGAAGTTATATAAACATATACTTAAAATTTTTTTAAATTTTGTAAAATGTTGAAACATACAAAAAGCGATAAATACTTGTATTATTTATTTTGCAAGTTTCAATACTGTTCTTTTTGTTACACTAATTTAAATACTTAAACTTATATCAAGTCCAAACTGCTTAAATATATATATATATATATATATATATATATATATATATATATAATTGGAAATGATTTGATATTTCTATTTATCAAAATGAAATTTCTTTTCACATCTATGATGAGATGATCATAAAATTTAATATTGTTTAATAAGGTTAATGCTTGTTATTAATTGTTTGATATAGTACAGTTTCGTATTTATAGAATTTAAATAAGTAAATTAACATTATAATAAATAAATTATATTTCTAAAACAATTTAAGACTACCATATCCACCATACCTTAGCTTAGAGTCTCAATTTGGCTCTTTTTCAATATATAAAACAACAAAAAATTATATAAGAAATAAAATAGTAAACATTAAAATGATTAACAATCAACAAAATTTTTTATTTATTTATTTATTCAACGCCCAAGACATTAATACAATATAATTACATTTTAAAGTGTACAAATTATAAACTAAAGATAATATGTGAGAAAATTAGAGTATTAAGAGTTCATAGATAGATAGCTTTATATAAATACATAACCCTTAATCGAAACTACAAATATATAATACTAAATAAAAACTATTATATTATAAACTAATAAAAACCTAAAATATTAAACATTTAATAGACTACAAATATCTACTTAAAACAGTCATTTAAGGATAATTTTTCTGGCTTGATTTTTTATTGCAAAGTAAATCACCTGAAAATATTACGTATAAGAGATATAATAATGAATATTAGAATGATTTATAAAAAAATTAACATAAATATTGTAAAGTAAAAATATCGTAAACTACCTGAAAACATTACGTATAAGAAATGAAATAATAAATATTAAAATGATTTATAAAGTAATGAACAAAAATATTAAAAAGTATATATATATATATATATATATATATATATATATACATACATACATACATACATACATACATACACGTTCCGCAAGGGTGGGTGCTTGCCAGAAATTGATTTTCTTTGTTCACCCTTGTATTTCGATTTTACCCTATTTAAGTGACCCTGTTAGTATTAGTCACCCTCGGTTATTTGGATAATGGAATGAGATTGGATTCATTTTAGAATTTTTAGTCTAAATTATAGTAAAATGCAATAAATATAAATAATCTATGTTCCATCAAAGCAAAAATATTAAGATAAATATTTGCAGTATCCAAGCTATACTTTTATCAAACAACTTCCGCTGGAATGTTTTATTTTTATTGAATATCGATTCTGTTTAAAAATACTACGAAGATATATTTTTAATTTGATACGGTAGTAATGCATGAATGTTATCAATTAATAAGACCCCATTGATATTATTAATGATATAGTATCTTATTGTTTTTTGTTTATTTCTTTTGTTTCCTGCGTTTGTTTGTTTGGCATTTCTATTGTTCTAGTAAATTCGTTTTTATTTCAACACCGAGCAATTTGTTTATATTTTCATTTATGATTCATAACTTAATCAAGTCATTTAGTAATTGTTTTGTTTTTATTTAACAAATGGTTATAAGCTGGCAAGCCGAGTGGTTCTTTCTGACTTTGATATATATTGTATTATGTAATTAATTTTTATTTAACCTAAATATTTTCTGTTTGCTTTAGTTTATTTTATTATTGTTTATTATTTTATTATTAACTTCCCGCATAATAATCGCAAATAAATCGAATATCTAAATTTTTATGTATCTTTACGTTTCAAAGGTTTTTGAACATTTTGGCATACTTTAGAAAAAATTGATGTATTTGTGAGCGCGTGTGGATACAAATTTTCTTCTACAATTTCGAGAAAACTAATCAACCGATTTGAATGATTCAGCAAACATTCGATTCCTATTAATGAGGAAACGTGCTGATTAGTTAGCACGTTATATTAGGATAAGGCAGGTCTAGCCGTTTCGAAGATATGGAGCAAAAAGTGTCAAAAATTGTAATTCAGGTTTTGAGAGAACGGAGCGTCCGATTTGAATGATTCAAAAAACATTTTACCTGTATTGACAAAATGAAGAATTTATTAAATTTTTGGGAAGGCAGGTCTAGTGGTTTCGGAGATTGAGTCAAAACAATAAAAAAAAGCCATTTGGAGGTCAAAAATGATCATTAGACATATGCGCATCAAATTATCAGATATTTTAAAGAGATTTTAATAATAAGTATGAACTTTGTTTACATTTCCATGGGTTCCGTACCAATGTTTAACTGTAATACTGCGACGCGACTCAATTAATTTTTTCTACGGAAAGTTCCAGCAATTTGTCTTAAGGCATGATGAAATGCACCACTAGTTATATTATAGTTCATTTTATTTATTGTTATTAAACACTGAAATGACGTCAAAGTTTACTTCATGTGCTACCAATCATTATCGATCCTATAATTCCATAGCGTTATCGACTTTATTCATAATGTTTATAATATTTATATATGAATATTTTGAAAAGGTTTTATTCATATCAATATTACTAAGTCGATGATTCATAACTGTTTTATTATTGCGCGTAGTTCTTATTCGGTCATTATTATTTGTTTATAAACCGTTAATCGTTCTGCTTATGATTAGTTTGCAGACTTTATATTGTTTAGGTTATATCAATAACATTTGAAACATAGGAAAGGGAATAACACGTTAGCATTTCATGATAAGAGCTTTGATTTTGCAACTACAAGTTTCCATGTTCTATTCCTGCCTCGAACAACCTGGTATTATTTTTGTATGAGATTATAGATCGAACTATATAGATATTTTATATAGATCTTTTATTGAAAATATAGGTCGAACCTTTCATCCTATAAGCTGTTGGGCTAAAACTTCTTACTTCGTATTTTTAGATGGTAACCTAATGGTTAATCCATCCATATTTGATGATTTTATTATTAGATAGGGCTAACTTTTTATTGGTGCAGCAATGCCGGGCAAGGGCTATTTTCACTTGGAAACATATTCCTATGTATATTTCCAAATAATCGTTGTCACTGCTGCCTGACAACAGGCTGCTCGAAGTGGGTATCGAACCCGGGACCTCTGAATCAAGTCCCGTCGCTCTTAACCTACGGGCGAGCCTGAAATATAGATATAAAATTAAAAAAAAAGAGTTAAAAATTATCTTTTATTTTTTTAATTATATGGTTGACTATTTACGGACAAAGGGTCTGATCGTGTTTCCATGCAGAATTGGCCTTCCCTGGTATTTAAATCATTTAAATAACGAAGCGGGGCCGATTCTGTGTGAAAACACGACAAGACCTTTTGGACGTCCTGTTCAATTTTTTGTAATTCCATCATCTGCTTCTTCGTTTTTTTTTTCTTCAGATCCTTTAATTGTCCAGAAGTCACAATCTTCAAATAACATTCTGAGTCAGTTTCCCTTTCTCACAATCTTATATACATGCACAAATATATGTTAAGGATAGTTAATTTTTTTTTGTCGAAAATATGGATAAATATTGCTATTGTTGTTACGCATAAAAATAGAAAATGTTTTTTTTATTTATTGTTTTATTGACTATTTATTGTATACGAGTACATTAGTCATTTACAAAATCCTTAAGTCTAATCACAATTACTTCATCTAAACATTTCTCACCATGACTACATAATATCTACACTACTTACAATTAAAATATGTTAAAAATAACTTTAGTTTCCCATATATTTCGACCTAAAACTTTGTCAAAAAGTATATTTTTTACTAATATTACGCCAGATTATTAGTCTCTTACTACAAAAATCATTCATATATATATAGTTTCAAAATGAGTTTAGAAATCTACTTAGTAGTTGAACTTGTAAAACGATTCTAAAACCCAAAAAACAAACCCATTTTTTTAAATTTTATTAATTCATATAAAAAATTACATAAAAGGGAAATGTTAAGATCAATCAGGTTGATTACTAAAAACTTTTGGAGTGTATATATTACATATTATACATACAGGGTGTCCCAGACCTTGACGTCAAGCCGAAACGAGTTGATA